AAGCATGTATACTAATGAGGTACTGTTGTGTATGATTATACAAAATTGACATTAGTAGCTATGTGCCAGACTCTGAGTAGAGAGAAAGAACATTGTGTACCAGAGAGAGAGAGAGATGTACTATCCCTCAGTAGAGTATGCCTAATAATGTAAATAAATTGGGTTTTGCAGAAGTATACAAGAGTTGAGCTATAGTCACTACCAGGTCGCAAGTTCAAGTCAGATCCCAAAAAGGAATCCAAGCTGTTCCAACATGCTTCACAGGAGCCTAATTGAGATTTGACATTAAACTACATAAAACCATTACTAGGATAGGTGGCCAAATGTTTTGTCAAAGGTGTAGGTTTTAAGGAGGAAAGGTGCAGGGAGGTTGAAGCTGGTAATTCTGGAGTATAGTCCTAAGCAGCTGAAACCATGTAGGTACCGGGTCACTGAGAATATCCAAAAAAGGGATTGAAAATGTTTAGATTTTAAAGGCATCAAGGGATGTAGACAGAAAGTGGGAATATGGCATTATCATAGAGGATCAGCCATGATAACCACCAATGGTGGAGTAATAGTTATCAGGGATAAGTAAGAGATCAGTCTAATCTGGTATCTCACAGGGTGGTAAGTCTAGAGGACGTTATGAGAAAAGAGTGGGTGAAGCCACGGAGGTATTCATGCACAAGGATGTGCTTTTTAAAACTGAGGCAACCTGGGAGTAATTTATTTAGTTGAGGATGACATCTAGGCTCAGTGGGAATTGGTGTGAGCTTGGAAATGGGCAGCAGTGTTTTGAATGAGATTACAATTACAGCGGGTGTAAGGTGGGAGTTTCATCCTGCCTAACTTTTATTAGTTAAAATAGGTAAATAATTTAAGTCACATTGCGACTTCCCATCATGCACTCAAATTATCTGCTTACTTGATTATCTGCCAGAATCTTTGTAGGACACATCTTTCCATTGCACCACTGCACAGCCAGTAACATCAATCACCTCCTGCCTGACCCAATTTTTTTTTTCATTTGAGTGTTTTCTATAGTGTGGTCTTTTCTTTGAATGGTTTTTTATTTGAATGCTGCTGACCTCATTGGAAAGAAAGTGTTTGGAGGTGATGCTGAGACAGCTGCGTAAGAGGTGTGCCACTGAAGAATCGGAGTCCTGGAGTACGTCAGTGGCATTTGTCATTTTAACTAAGTTTGCTTATTCACATCCGACATACTCATCGGCTTAGTAATCAGTGTCAGTTCATTCCACATTTAAGTCATTATTAAAATTCTGAAACAGTGTGCAAAATATTCAAAAATTCCAGGAGAAAACTGATAGAGTTACCTGTCCTATTGCCGGCGGTGTATTTCAGTTCACTCAGGAAGTCATCGTGCCAAGACAAAAAACATTTTTTTACCTGCAAGTTGTAGTGGGGACTATGGATAATGATGGCAAAGGCTCCAAATTTCTATCCATCATCTGGGCCAGCGAGGAATCTCTCCTCATCTTTACCGCTTACCACTAGGTTGTGTTGGAAGGATTTGCAAGTGAAAACTCAACCCATTATGAAAGATAGAAACGAGGAGCAGGAGTCAGTCATTTGACCCTTTAGGCTGCTTTGAAATTCAATATGATCATGGCTGATCCTCTATCTCAATGCCATATTCCCACTTTCTCTCTATACCCCATTGATCCTTTTAAAATCAAAAGGTTATCAATCTCTTTCTTGAATATACTCAATGACCTTGTCTCCACACACCCATATTGTCCCAAATCTCACTGGTTGATCACCCTTTGAGTGAAGAAATGTCTCCTCATCTCAGCCCTAAATGACCGTTTTGAAAATATGAACCCTTCGTTCTAGACTCAGCCAACTAGGGAAACATTCTCCCTGCATCTAGTCTGTCTAGCCCTGTTAGAATTTTATATGTTTCAATCAGATCCTATTCTTTCTTCAAAACTTGAGTGAACAGAGGCCCAGTTAAACCAATCTCTCCTCACAGGATAGTCCTGTCATCCCCAGTATCAGCCTAGTGAACAATGTTCTCTCTACGTTGCACATGCAACCTTGCCAGTGTTCATCACATGACAATTAGCATTGGCATTAACTTCTGCCTCTGGAAGTCGTTACTGTACCCGGGCTTTGAAAAATAGGGCAAACGCTGCTAGTGAACCTTCACTGCATTCCCTCTATGGCAAGTAGATACTCTGTAAGGTGGGGAGATCAAAACTGCACATAATACTCCGGATGCTGTCTCACCAACAGTATGACATCCTTCCTTCTTTTTGGAGGACTTGTGGCATAGTGTGTAGCCAGAAATTCCAGATTTGAGTGCTACGCTGGTATTAATGATGGCCGAAGAAGGTGTGTTCATTACACAACCAACTTATCAACTTGTAGATCCTTCTAAAACTTTCCAACGATAGGTTGTGAAAAGCAGGAGAGATTCCTGGTGATGAAAAGAATGTTGGAGCCTCTATCATCAACACCAGTAGCTCCAGACCAATGTAAAAGTGTACGTTGCCATAATCTACACAGTGCATTCGCTCATAATTAATGAGTTTGCAGTGTATTATGGGTAATGAATACAGTTTTACTATATTGTAAGGCCATTCTCTGTTGGTAATCTCCTGAAGGTTGAGCAAGGAGAGGTGAAGAGATTTATCCTTTGGTGTTGTTTATGCAACTTATTAGCTAGGGACTGGTGTGTCACTAGAGATGATTATGATTGCCATGCTGATCCTGTGTGTTTCTGAGTGTGAATGCAGACTATGAAGCCAGATTGCAAATAAACAGAATATAAAAATACTTGCATTTACGTAGCAACTTTCCTCAGCAGGGATCAGCCATCCCAAGTGTTTGGCAGCTAATAAAGTACTTTTGCAGTCTAATCACTGTTGGAATCACAGCACCAATCTGTACCCAGCAAACTGCCACAAACAGCAATGTAACAATGAGCTATAGCCATTTTTATGATGTGGATTGAAAGATAAGTATTAAGCAGGTCACTGGAGATGTCTCTTATAGATAGATTTTTCAATATAGAACTGTGCAATCTCTTACAGTCAGCTGAGAAAATAGGTCAGGCCTCAGATTAGTGTCTCATCTGAATGACAGCACAGGATTCCCTCAGTACTGCACTGAGGTATCAGCTTTCAGCTTTACCCTCAAGTCCTGGATTTGGGTTTGAACTCAATCTTCTGATGTAAGAGGTGAGCCTATCATCCAACGAGCTACCAAACTGCTGCCATGACAGGATTTGAAGATTTGGCATGTACAACTCTATTTCCAATGTAGCAGCAGAGACTTGGCTTCTTTTTACTTTTGTAAAATAAATCTACTGCACCACTGGACTGTAAAAATATCTTAATGCTTAATAAAACTTCTGCATTTGTTTTTATGCCAAAGCATCTCTAATGTGTATTTTACACTGAATAACTTATTGGAGAGAAACATTTTTGGAAACAAACAATTCTTACAAACATCTGTGCCCCATAAATATCATACAATTTAGTAATCTGTTTCATATTGTGTGGTGAGATCTCTGAAGAATGTTGGTCAAGACAATGACGGAGCACCAAGTTATTTTGCAATAATCTCTAGAAAGTGATTCTGAGGCAAGATCCAATTTTAAACTTTGGAATTATGCAAATTCTACGTAGGAGTGATGTAAGACTGATTTTTTTTACAAAAAGGACAAGTTTGCAGCAACTTTCAACAGTTTGTCCCAATTCAGCGTGTTATCTTCTAGATTTAAAACTCATCAACAACACCAGTTTAAACTTTTAGTTGAATCTTAATATGGGAATTTGAGGTATTGAGGAGATTTTTGAGTTTGGGTGTGAATGGATGATTGTTAGTTTTGCCTTGGCTGAATCTTTTCCTTCAGTGTGTATAAAAATTGGACAAAATGCATAATTAGCAGATAGACTAAATCTTTCCCTGGGCAGGATCTCCACCTCCCAATGCTGGTAGTGAATCCTATGCTCCTTGGCCAGCTCACTTGCATCCATTTAGAACCATAGGGCCACTAGTTGGCTTGAGGCAGCTCTTCCAACTCCCATCGGAGAGGACATCTTGTCTCTGCAACCTATTATCCAATCAAAGGGACAGCAGCTTCTTGTCCCTGCAGTGCCAAAGGGAGCAGTGGCAACTGCTGGCACTGCAGGCAATCCCAACGAGGAGACAGCAATGGAATCTGGAATTAAAATGGTAAATCAGTAGAGTTGTTTAGACCAAGCTGGAAGGCCCAGGTGAAAGGGATGTGGTCAAGGGCCAGGATATCAGAGTGGGATGGGATGAATTACCTGCAAGGACCCATACCCCTTGCCTGGTGACACACTCTTCAAGATTTACCCAGCAGTCTGAACTCATGGTGCCAGTCTCCCTGCCTCTAGTAAAGTCTCAGTAGTGACCTTAGATGGTCATTAATTGGGGCTTCAATTGTTTAGAAGTGAGGAAACCATCCTACTACTCACCTTCTGCTGGTAATATAGCTTCAGGCTGGATAGGAAATAGAAGTGGTGCCACTTCCACTGCACCACATTTTGTGTCCTACTCCCTCATTTCCTTCTTCAGGGGTTTATAAGAATCCAGCCCTGATTTCCAAAAACAGTTTTCTGTCACACCTGAACTCAAAATGACCACTAATGCTTCCAAAATGTTTTCTTTTAGCTCTGATTAATGCACTAATTTGGACCTGTTCAGGTTGAAACTGGAAACTGGAAACTGGATCAAAATGACCCAGCTGAGGTGACATTGTTGGTATTCCAAGGATCTTGTAACTTCAGTTTGGAAAATGCATCAGAATGGTGCTCAAGTTGCAACTCAAAATAACATATTGCTGTTATGACCTTGAAAGGAATTAATGCTGTTGGAGGTGTAGATCCTTATTCTTTTAATTTCTTTTGAAAATTCATCAGATAATGTTTGGGAGTTTAGGGCTGAAGGGTAATCGAGGGGGGATGGTGCGGTGTGTGAGCTTCAAATTGCAATAGGCCAGTTGTGGGTGCACATCAAACCCCAGCATGAAATTATTTTTCACCAGACTGCAGCAGCTGTCACAGGATGATGAAAGTCTAAAGACATTCTACTCCTGCCGTCGTATTGTTCGGTATGTTGGACATAATGGATTTTTGTTTTATTCTTTCATTGGACGTGGCCATTGCTGGCAAGTCCAGCGTTTGTTGCCTATCCCAAATAGCCCTCGAACTGAATAGCTTGTTGGGTTATCTCAGAATGGAGTTAAAAGTTAATCATAATGCTGTAGACAGACCAGGGAAAAATGGGATTTCCTTCCCTAAAGGGGTTGAGTGAACAGATGGGTTTTTATGACACTTGATGATCATTTCACGGCACCATTAGTGAGCCTGGCTTTTTAACTCCAGGTTTATGAATAAAGTTTAAGCTCAAACTCTGCAGTGGTGGGATTTGAACCTGTCTCGTACAGGAGTTAACTTGAACATCAGTGACATTGCTACATGGGGCCCCTGCCTCAAACATGCTGTGTTTTCCTGACCTGTCAATTTCATAATTACCTTTGCTATGGTCAGTTTGCTCAGATGGTAAGTTGTAAAACCAGCAGTGCTTCTACATTGTTTTCTGCACAATTGGTGTCTTGTAAATATAACATAATTTTCAGCTTTTGTGCCTGGACTTTGAGACTTACTTTTTAATAAAATATTCAATATTTGTGTGTTGTATGTGGCTCAAATGTCTTAAATTACTCCAGTGAGCATCACTGTGCAATACATTTGAAGAGGTGCTTATTAATTAGCCAACAGTTTAGGAAAATTAAGGAAATTAAGTTATTTAAATATTAAATATTTAATTAAATATCCTAATTAATTAAATATCCTAATTAAAAATCCTAATTAAATATTTACGAAATTAAGTTATCATAGACAGTTTTCAATATCACATTTCCAATTGATCACTTCCATTTTGTATTTGCAGACAGCAATTTTATCCTTGCGAATGCTCAGGTGTACCGTGGCTTTCCCATTGTGTACTGCTCAGATGGATTCTGCGACCTCACTGGCTATGCTCGCACTGAAGTCATGCAGAAGAATTGTGGGTGCCGATTTCTGCACGGAGCAGAGACTAATGACCAGGTTTCTGTGCAGATTGAAAAAGCACTTGACAGCAAGCAAGAGTTTCAGGGGGAAGTGCAATTCTACAAGAAATCAGGTAAATGTTTACTGTTGATGAGTGTTATGTCCTTGTGTACACCCATTTCATCAGACCATAACACTAAGGGGCAGAAATAGGACCTTTAGGCCATTAACCTGCTCCATCATTCAATGAGAACATGGCTGATCTCATAATCCAAGACTCCACTTTCCTGCTTTTTCCCCATAATCTTTGATTCCCTAACTGATTAAAAATCTGTCCATCTCAGCCTTGAATTTACTCAATGATACAGTCTCTACTGCCCTCTGAGGTAAAGAATTCCACAGATTCACTAACCTCTGAGAGAAAAAATTACCTCCTAATCTGTGTCTTAAAGGAATGATATGTTCTTCTGAGATTATTTCCTCCAGTCCTTGACTCTCCCACCCTGTTAAGTCCCCTTAGAATCTTATATATTCCAATAAGGTTGCCTCTCATTCATCTAAACTCCAATGATTACAAAAACTATTCAACTTCTCCACATAGTCCAATATGTCCATACTTGGGCTCAGTCTAGTGAACCTTCTCTGGACTGTTTCCAATGCCAGTGTATATTTAGATGAGGGGCCCAAAACTGTTCACAGTATTCCAGCTGCAGTCTGACTATTGCCTCATATAGTTTCAGAAAAACTTCCCTACGGATTTCCTCTGTGTGCTCCGGTTTCCTCCCACAATCCAAAGGTGTGCAGGCTTGGTGGATTGGCCATGCTAAAAAATTGCCCGTAGTGTTCAGGGATGTGGAGATTGGGTGGGTTATAGGGGGATGGGTCGGTGTGGACTTGTTGAGCCGAAGGGCCTGTTTTCACACTGTAGGGATTCTATGATTCTATGACTTATCTTACATTCTCTTTGAAATAAAGGCCTTGAGATTAATTCATTCCACATTTTATCTGCTCAAGATAACTTTTAGTGGCAACGTTTAAAGGGAGTTAAATAAATATCAAAGCTCGTGTCCATATAATGCAGTTTATTATACCTGGGCTATCAAGCAAGGTTAATACAAGGGAAATGTTGAATTAACATCTCCATTTTTAGGCCATCATGTTTATCTTGCCAGAAAATGCCATCTTTGCTTCACATTTCAAATATACTAGAAAATTTCAAATCTGCCTGAGATCATAACAGCTGTATGTTGAGAAGGGTCCTTTGGACATAGTGGATAACCCTTCATCACATTCACCAAAGCTGATGGATAAACAACATTCTATCAATTATCCATGCTAGAATATGTTCAAGGTCTTTCATTCTACATTATTACATGGTCCCACTGCCCTCATCCTGAAATAACATTTCCAAAATCTTATATGAAGCAGTTTTGAGCTTTTCAGTAGAGATTCCAACATTGTTATTGTGGATTTACATCTCAAAGGTTAAAGTGTTTAAAGGTCACAGGCTCGTGATATTCTGTGGGGCTCTCTAAATCTTGCTCCCTATGCTCGGCAGTGTCAATATTGTATTTCAGTGGTATTACAAAGCAACATTTGGTGAAGCCAGTTTGTTGGTTTACGGCCCACAGCATTAACTGGGATTACAGATAAAAGCAAAATTGCACAGATACTTGAGATCTGAATTCAAAATAGAGTGTGCTATGAAACTTAGCAGGTCTGGTATCATGCATGGAGACAAAAATAGAGTCTCCCCCTTTTCCGATGAAGGGTCTAGGCTCGAAACGTCAGCCTCTCTGCTCCTATGATGCTGCTTGGCCTGTTGTGTTCATCCAGCCCTGCACGTTGTTGTCTCTTAACATTTTGAGTCTGGTATGACTCTTCTTTAGAACTGTGGTTGTGGAATTGTCCCTCGTCAAGCCTGTTTTGTCCAGTTTCTACATTTATCGTCCTGTAATGGACTCATTTTCCTTCATGCCACTCCATCACCAATAAGATTATCTTCCATTTCCGGCTCGTCTGAAAAACAATCAAGTAAAACTTTCAGCTTCTCAATAACCTGAATTCCCCTTTTCTCAATAGATGTTAATACGGTGTCTTTTTCAAAGATGTTAAATAATTGAATCAAACTCCTTCTTTGTTTCAATGTTCCCAGGAATCCCTTGCAGTGAATAATATTATGTGCAGTCACTGAGCTTTTCCTGATCAGTTGGCCTCCTAATGTTTGCTTATCCTAGCCCTTTTTGAATGCATTTACATCGTTTTCAAGTCAAGTTGACCAAAACTATTTGGCATGTTCCAGAACTGACTGCTCATTGACTTGTAAACAGTAACTTTTGAATTTTTTGTTCCTTTATTCATTAACAGGATGTGGGCATCACTGGCTAGGCAGCATTTATTGCCCATCCCTAATTGCCCAGGGGGCAGTTCAGAGTCAACTACATTGTTCTGGAGTCACATGTAGGCCAGACCAGGTGAGGATGGCAGCTCCCTTAGGGGATTAGTGAACCAGATGTGTTTTTCCAACAATCAGCAATGGACTCATGGTCATCATTAGATTCTTAATTCCAGATATTTTATTGAATTTAAATTCCACCAACTGCCAAGGTGGGATTTGAACCTGGGTCCCCAGAACATTATCTGGGTCTCTGGATTTACAGCCTAGTGATAATTCCAAGCTGATACCTCCTCCTATACAAAGCCTGTTGATAAGGTTGGTGCTGTTGTAGTCTGGCATACTGACCTCTACATTGCAGAAGCTAAGTGCCAGCTCTCAGATGCCACCTCCTATCTTTGCCTGGAATATGACCTCAACATGACACATCAGGCTATTGTATCGACTATGGTAACTGACCCCATTTCATCTGGTGACCTCCCCCCCGCCCCCAACCCCACTGCTTCCAAGCTGATAGACCCCCAGCCCCACACAGCTTGCTTCTACCTCCTTCCAAAAATCCACAAACAGGACTGCCCGAGCAGACCCATTGTCTCAGCCTGCTCCTGCCCCAAGGAACTTATTTCTTCCTACCTTGACTCAGTCTTTTCTCCCCTGGTCCAGTCCCTGCCCGCGTACATCTGTGATTCTTCTGATGCTTTATGCCACTTTCAGAATTTCCAGTTTGCAGGTTCTAGCCGCCTCCTCTTTACCATGGACATGCAATCCCTTTAAACGTCCATTCCCCACCAGGATGGTCTCAGGGCTCTCCGCTTCTTCCTGGAGCAAAGGCCTGAACCGTACCCACCCATCACCACCCTCCTCCGTTTGGCTGAGCTCGTGCTCACCGTCAACAACTTCTTTTTTAACTCCTCTCATTTTCTTCAGGTCAGAGGGGTAGCCATGGGTACCCGCATGGGCCCCAGTATGCCTGTCTCTTTGTTGAGGAACATGGAATACTCTTGTTCCAGTCCTAGTACGGCCCCCACCCACAACTCTTTCTCCGATATATCAATGATATCATCGGTGTTGCTTCCCTTTCTTGTCCGGAATTGAAAAGTAATTGATTTTGCTTCCAATTTCCACCCTGCCTTCACTTTCACCTTGTCTATCTCTGATTCCTCCCTTCTCTTCTTCAACATCTCTGTTTCCATTTCTGGGGATAGACTGACCACTAATATCCACTACAAATCCATTGACTCACACAGCTACCTAGACTATACATCCTCACACCCTACATCCTCTAAAGACTCCATCCCATTCTCTCAGTTCCCCTGGCCCCGTCGCATATGTTCCAATGAGGCCAACTTCAACAAGGGAGCCTTGGAAATCTCCACCTTTTTCCTCAACCGAGGACTCCCCAGCACCATTGTCGACAGGGCCCTCAACCGGGTCTGGCTCATCTCCCACACTTCCATCCTCACCCCCTCCCTTTCCTCCTGCAACAGCAATAGGGGTCCCCTTGTCCTTACCTACCATCCCACCAGCATCCACATCCAGAAGATCATCAGATGCCATTTCTGTCACCTCCAGTGAAATGCCACCACCAGACACATATTCCCTTCCCCTCCCTTGTCCGCTGTCTGCAAGGACCATTCCTTCTGGGACACCCTGGTCCACTCTTCCTTCACTCCCAACATCCCCCCCACCCCACAGCCCCACAGCACCTTCCTCTGCTGAAGGCGTAACACCTGCCCATTTACCTCCTCCCTCCCCAGTATCCAAGGGCCCAAACATACCTTCCAGGTGAAGCAGCACTTTATTTGCGCTTCCCAGAATCTGCATACTACATTCGCTGCTCACAATGTGGTCTCCTCTACATTTGGGAAATGAAGCGTAGACTGGGTGACATTTACGTTCTGCCCACTAAAAAGACCCTGACCTTCCAGTTGTCTGCCACTTTAACACATCACCCTGTTCCCTGGCCAACATCTCTGTCTCTGGCTTGCTGCAGTGTTCCAGCGAAGCTCAGCGCAAGCTGGAAGAATAACACTTCATTTTCCACTTGGAGACCCTACAGCCCTCTGGACTCAATATCGAGTTCAATAATTTTAAGGACTGAACTCTCCCGTGTCCCGGCCCCTACCCCACACACCAGGCCTTGTTATCACATAGCCTGCCATTACACACTACCTATTGTTAGTCACTAACAGTCCCCATTAACTGTTATTCACTCACCTAGCCAGATCTTTACCCACTCCTTTGTCTATCCAACTGCTCTTCTCTCTCTTTGGGCTCTACCCCCATGTATCATTCACTCCTTACCCCCTCCTCCCACCCTATCTTCTACATATAAGCTGACATTTTCCTAGCTACCATCAGTTCTGAGGAAGGGTCACCAGACCCGAAAGATTAACTCTGATTTTTCTTCACAGATGCTGGCAGACCTGCTGAGCTTTACCAGCAACTTCTGTTTTTGTTCCTGATTTACAGCATCCGCTCTTCTTTTGGTTTTTATTTAGTTTTATTCATTGTAACAGAGTTTTAGACAGAGAGATTTGTGTAGCGCTAAAACATGAGTAAATTATAAGTATACAAAAATTGTGCATCAGTGCCTCATAAGGCATTTTCACACGTATACAGCAGCAATCTTTACATTGACTGCCAAAAGACTTGAGCTCCAAAACACAATGAGGTGAAAAAGACTCTGAAACATCACTGTGTCAGTTAAAGTACTAAACAATTTTCACGCCTTGACAAAATGCTTGGAAGAAGAGCTCAGTACAGATATTGGCAAAAGGAACTTCAGTGAGGCAATACAATACTTAATTAGATGAATACCTACAGACTTCTGCGATTCATTCAAACATTTTGTTCATTTTATGAGTCAGTTTCCATCGGGATAGATGCAAAAAGGATTTTTGCATGGAAATTTCTTCTGAAACGTTGTATTCAATGTAATTAGGCTTGACTGCAAAACCTACCATTAGCTTCTAATGTAAGGAGAATCTGGCATTTACTATAGTTAACAGTCATAGTGAACCGAAATCTATGACCTGTCGTTATAGATTGCCCCACATGAGGCAATATCCTTTTTGCACCTACATTGTCAATCCCCTTTAAGCATTTTACATACCTCAATTAGATCTCCTCTCATTCTTTTAAACTCCTAAACTTCTCAATCTGGCTTATCTCAAAAACCAACGTCACTCTGATTCATTGAGCCCAATGAACTGTGTTGTTCATGAACAAACAAAAATACTACTTCTTAAATATTTAGCATTTTTAAAATGCTGGAATAAACAAGGATTGCAATAGAAATATTGGCGATGAGACACAGAGTAAAGCTATGTTTTCAATCAGAGTTATCAACACTGTCTGTTTCCTGTATGGCTATTCTTGATTATGAGGGACTATTTGTTTCACCATTTTTTTAACACTCAGATTTGATTAGTTTGATATTTACTGAGCCAAACTAAACAAATAAACTAAGTCTTTTTATCTATTCTGGAGCTTGGCTAGCTATGTACCATAGCAAAGAGGAAGGCCAGTTTGTCCACCATGTCTGTTCAGATTCCTTGTTAATGAACTAATACTAATCTCGTTTCCCTGCTTTCTTCCCTTATGTATATTTATGCAATTGGTCCTTAAATAATACGGTCTTCAACACAATCATTCCTTGTGCTCCAGAAACCCTGTTCAGAGAGCACTTCATCCAAAATCTTTCGTAACTCTGGCAGTGGTCATTTTAATGGATAGTCCTTCTTCACATGCTTGGCAACCAGAAAAAATAATGTTTTTGTTCAATCTTCTTTTTTGCTCAATTCAAACCATCTTCCTTATTTTAAAACCTACTTTTTATGTTTGCTCTTTACATTCTATGCCCTTCATAAACAGTTACTGTATCAGCTAGACAGCTGGAGGCCACTGCTGGGCACTAAAGGAATGTTTGACAGACTCACATATGTCCCCACGTGTGAGCCTTTGCGATCAGGAGAAGGAGTTGAAGTCTATGGCAGGGACTTCTATGCATTTTGGTTCCACAGGAGGGGTTGAAATATTATCGTTCATGGGCCTTTCTAAGAACCTGACTCCTCTTCTTACTAAGTTGACCTGGTGGAAAAGCCACAATTACTTCCACCATGCAAAACTCTGATTAAAATAGAAATCAGGCCCCAGTGAAATGGTTGAATCTTGATCTGAATATTTAAGGAAGAATGCCGCTGTTATCTACTGAATGTCCTTTCCCTCAATGCAGAGGAGTGGGTTACAATTGCAACTTGTAGAAAGTCAACAGGACAACGATGGAACTAATTGGACCTATTTAGGAAGCCATTTCACTGTGGGAAAAATCTTTTATAGGATGTTATTTTTGTGACATTTATGTATGACTTACAGTAAACCATTTAATATGTTACAATTATAGGAAAAATAAACTTTGGGATGGAATACATTAGACAATGTTTTGTATGGGCTCCCTTATCATATAAAATATCAATAGGTATTTGTGACATCGCCCTCAAAGATCGTAGAACTCATATCACTGTATTCAGAAGGCAAAATTTCACTAACCTGTTCACTGTCCTCTTCTCTGCTCTTCACTTGCAGGCACTGCATTTTGGTGTCTGCTTGACATTGTACCCATTAAAAATGAGAAGGGAGAGGTTGTACTATTCCTGGTTTCCTTCAAGGATGTCACTGATACCCGAGGCATAAACCACCCAGGAGATGGGAAAGAAGGTAAAAGCACATTTTACAATTGCACATTGTTTCCCTGATTTTATACAAGGGTTAATGCACAATTCCACTCCCTTTGGAACTAAAAATAAATAAACTCTTAGGATACACAAAGGTTTTTGTTTCTGTCCAATCTTACAGCAATCATTTCAATGTTCTTAGGAACAATGCTTTGTTTCTTGGTAAAGTTTTATAATCGTAATTTTTTCTCCCTTTAATATAAATATTATCAGTAGAGATGGTACTGGATGTCAATGTGGATTATACAGAACTGAAGACCAAACAGAACTTGATACTACCTATGAAGTGATAATATCGATGTCTTGATAATGTTGTCACTCTATTTTAAATTATACCTAAATATCTCTTTGCTACATTGTCGCTAGTTTCAGTAAAGTTGAGTGTTTTGTTCTGTAACTTCAAGGCTTTGAATATTAAACTATTTATAAAGTTGACTTTCTGAAAGTTTCTTGGTCAAAGAATTTTTTTTTGCACTGACGTTTTTTTTACTGTGCTACAATTATCATTTTAAATTTAAAACAAAATGCCAGGACCAGTATGAAACTATCACTTCCAATGCAGATTGTGGAACAACACTGCACAAATTGGTGATCTTAAGACTACATTTTGAACGCCATTCTGTTGCACTTCTCAGGTCCCAACATCAGCAAGTGGTGCTACAATGTGATATGTCTCTAATTACCTAAATACTTGAAAGTAAGAACAGACTGTGATAGTCAAAAGATATCACAATATGAGAGAGTGCCACAAATATGGCATCCATGGCATCCTTAGAGTTTATTTATCTTTGACTCTTGGGGGAGTGGAATTTGCAATAAGGTTTGAACATTTAATGAATTTGTCAGAATGTATCCATTGTTACAACATACTAATGTTAACATCTCTATTAAAATATCAGATTAAGAAATTTGATTTGTTAATATTGTAGGGAATAATTTCACCAGAGCAGTCACTGCTAGTATTTTCGATTATGATGTGACAATTCAAGTGGATTGAGCTGCAATAGAAGGAAGTTCAGTATGAGCAGCCAAGGTTAGATGTTACTCTTTGTAATATTTGCCACATCTCAAATCAACATAAGAACATAGGAAATAGAAACATCAGTAAGCCATTTGGCTCCTTGAGCCTGCCCCACCAATCAACAACGTTGTGGCTGATCTGATGGGAACCTTAACTCGACTCTCCTACCCTGTCCCCTTATAATCCTTTACACCTTGTCAATCAAAAAATTAGCTAAAATGAATTTGAATGTATTCCATGACTCAGCCTCCTCTGCTGGCTGGGGGAGTGAATTCCATACACTAATAACCCTCTGACAGAAGAGATTCCTCTTCATCTTCGTCTCAAATGGGAGGCCTCTTATTTTGAAATTGGGCGTGTATAATTCTAGATTCATCCCAGATGACAAACATCCTCTCAGTATCTCTCCGGATCCTATACTTCAATAAAGTCACCACTTGTTTTTCTAAACGCTGATGCATATAGGCCTAACCTGCTAAACTATTCTTCATAAGATATGTGCCTCACTCCAAGAATTAGTCTCATGTACGATTTCAAAGATAAGCGGTAGGGAGTTCTCCCTAGTATCCCTCAGGGCAATATTCATCCCTGAATAAAAAGACATCTGGACATTATCATGTTGTAGTTTGTGGATACTCATTATGCCTGAATTAACTGTGTTGTATGACAGTGATACACTGCAAAAACACATAATTGGCTATAAAGCGCTTGAGGTCAGTTAGTGATCATGAAAAGCTCTATATAAATGCAAGTCATTCAATCTTTAATCTTCCAAATGACTAACTATAACTCTTACTTATCACATACAAATTTTGCAACTTCTTAGCCTGTCTCCTAAAATTTGGATGAAACCTTGATTTTACAAAGGTGAACTCAACATTCTCAGCACAGACCAATGTTAGCAGATATATTTCAGATCAATATTCAACACATAATTGAAATCCATGACTAAGGGAAAAGTAATTGAGAATATACAGTATGTGGGCTTCAAATTCTTCTTCTGAATTTAAAGCTATCTACTTGCTTAAACATGATGTAACACTTTTCACTTTCAGTGAAAGAGAAACAGCTTTGATTGAAGTATAAACTTCCATCTCTTTAATTTTATTGGTTTTATATGGGACTTCAAAAATCATGATTTCAAACAACTCCTTAATATCTAAAAGCTTAACCTGTGTTCTTAGATTGAGCATCAATTATGAATACTACATTCAGATTTGTTGATGGTTTTAAACACATTAGTCACACTGTGACATCCATATTCATGTCTGGTTTGCTTTGATAATTACTCTGTTTGTACTACTTGAGACATAGTTTATAGAAAATTCAATACCAGCAAGCATATGCCAAGCTTAAAACCAATTAGCATCAATGTACTGATATGAGAAAGACAAGAGAAACTTCAGAAAACGCAACCAAGAGATATATAAGTTATGACAGAGTGCAGGGAAGGTTAACTTCAAACTAAACAGCAACAGAAATGAAAGGTTCAATAGACAAGTGAAAGGTCAGTTTGGGACTGGTTTTACGAATCTCTTCATTGAACAAATTGGTCAATATTTGTAATGGACCACGAGGTAGCACAGTGAAGCACTGAAATCATTTAATCAGAGGTCAATGTTACATTGGTGGTCTGTAGTAGCTTTTTGAAGGGATGAGCTAAGAAAGCCAATGTCCTCCCTCATTCTTGAATATTTGTACCACTTCCTCAAGCCACTCTGGATATCGTCATGAACCAGCAATTAGAAAGACCAAGTAGAGAAGATGTTTCTAGTTTTCATCTTTGTCTTCCCTTGCATTGCATTTATACTGTCCGGGTTTATTTTTATTTTCTGATTGCTTTCTTCTCAACAGAAGGAAAGCTCAAGAACAAAAAGAGTAGTGGGTCCCATTTTAGTGTTGCCCGCAAACAAGGCCGAACTGTCCTGTACCATCTGACCAGCCATCTTCAAAAACGCGACAAAAATAAAGTCACGCTGAACAATGTGAGTACGCCACTTTTCTGCAAATTCACCGACTTCAGTGTTCAATCAATGACCATTACAGGTGGAGGGTAAATTCTTTGTCCTAATATGATGCTTGATAGCGTGTTTGCTTTTATCCAAACACTTTCTGTTGCATCTGAGACCAGTTTGTTTTTATCCGAAAATCGTGATTTCAAACAACTCCTTAATATCTAAAAGGTTAAATTGGGTTCTTGGATTGAATATCAATTATGAATACCACATTCAGATTTGTTGATGGTTTTTAACACTTTAGTCACACTGTGACATCCATATTTATGTCTGGTGAGCTTTGATAATTACTTTGTTTGTACTACCCGGTGACATAGTTTATAGAAAATTCAATACTGGTCTCAGATGCACCAGAAAATTTTCTCAGAAGGGTGAAACGTCACTTTTGATCCTACGACTGCCCTGATGCATCACATTTCAGTGGATATCAATATAGTCCATAATCTTATATTCCAAACCCCTTGAGATAAGGGCCAACATTCCATTAGCCTTCCCGATTACCTGCTGCACCTGTGTGCTACCCTTCTGTGTTTTACTTAAGTTCTGCTACAGTGAAATGTCCAAGACAAACTGCCTTGGATTAGAGAGCTGCTCACTCTTCCCCTCAACTTCAATCTCAGTCAACATTCCTTTGATGCTGCTGTAAAGGTTGGGTGTTCCTTTTGTGCTGAGTTCATTCCTGTTACACTTTGACAGATTGCATTAGTAAGTTGTATGGAGAAGTATAATTTTCTATCAACTTCAATCAGATGGAACTAAATTGAAGCAGACAATCTGTTGTTAAACGCAACCATTACATTAATGGGCTAAGGTTTGAATGGTCTGCTCTGTTGCAGTTTAGAGCACATTGAACTACACGTTTCAGGGATTTAATGTACTTTAATTGTCTAATCTTGGAATATTTCATGAGAAAATTCAATTTTAATCAATTTAATTTATTTTAAGATTATACCTTTTTCTATTCAAAATTATGAATTATTAGAATACTCTGCGTAGTAATAATATTTTGGAAAAATTACAGAACTCAATAGTTAATCAATGATTTTTCTTCCTTGGATGTTGCACAAAATGGGGATAATGTCTTATTATCTTTTCTTTACCAAGATTTAAGAATAGTGAGTACTGCACACAGTTCTGTTCAATGCATTAGGGGAAATATGTGATGAATACTAGAGAATATACAGAAATCATTTACAAGAATGCTCCCAGGACTGCAGAATTTTAGCTGTGAGGGACGATGGTTGGGCAGGTTTGATCTTTTTGGTCTTTCTAGAAATCTATACAATGCTTAGGCAAGGTCAATACAGGAAGGATGTTTCTGGTGACCAGGGAGGCCAAAGCCAGGGATTACAGTCTGAGGATAGAGGGTAGGCCTTTTAGGACTGAGACGAGGAGAAATTCTTTCACCTAGAGAGTGGTGAGCATGTGAAATTCTATGCCACAGAAAGTGGATGGTGCCAAATCATTGAAAGTTTTCAAGAAGGATTTGATATTATTGTTACGGCTAAAGGCATCAAAGGGTGTGGGGAAAAAGTGGGAGCTGGGTGTCAGATGATCAGCCATGATCTTATTGAAAGGTAGACCAGGCTTGAAGGATTGAATGGCCTATTCCTGCTTCTTTTTTTGATGTTTCCATAGTGAAAGGAGGGTGAGGGATGACTTAAATAAGGTACATAAAATTATGAGGGGTTGAGGTACGGCCATGATTGAGAGGGAGGAGACCCTCCAGAAGACAGGCAGAGGCTGGTGCCAGGCAGGAAGGGAGGGCCTCTAGGATTGTACAGTGCTGATCCTTCCATTTGCCAGCAGGCCATTTCTAGGCAGCTGCTCCATCACTGACAGGAAATTGTGGTCAAGCTCTAACACAGGCCCTAACACACCTTTCACAAGGTCACTTGGCTGGCTATTGCCATTGGAAGGTAATCTTGTCAATTCAGCCTACAGAATAATGGTGTAGAGATGGAATAGAATTAGAGAACCCACACATCCGCAAAGGTGTTATTTTTACCATCTGTACACCTACATTTTCACCTCAATTAAGCCCAAATAATGTAGCTTCAAATCTCAGGTTTATTGACATTCTGTTGAATGAGCTGAAGTCAGGAAGAGCATCAGGTGATGAACTGCCATTGGCCTAAAAAGCCTTGTGAAAAACTGAAACCCTGGAGAATATTGAATCGAACTGTGATGCCCTCTGCAGTTAAGTAGTCTTTATCTATGCCAGCACATGAATAATGGCCACTCAGGTAAAGTCCTGGAGGGTTCCTAGGGTGCATGAAGTCACATGTTGGTATAAATCTGCACCGTTGAGGCTGGAGAAAGTTTGATGAAAAACAGAGAAGAGAAATATTTATTAAAATGGTGGTGAACTTTTGTTCACTTGTCTGGTTTTGAGGCTGTGATTTAGCAGCATTTAAATTCAGGATAGACATGATTTGAGAGATTGTACATACTTCAATGTAGTGTGTCATTGCCATATCCATCAAATAATGCCAAATAATAAGTACTTTCTGAATGTCTGCCCAATCAACTGTCACTAAAACTGATTGACGGATGTGGGAAAAGTTGCCTCTCAAGGCCTCTCATGTTTTAGAAATGGTTGAAAAATAAAAATCTTTCACTGGTTGCAATGTTTATTTGTACTCTCTTTTTCTCTGAAAAGCACATTAATTTGAACAGCAAAGCACTTGAAGTAGAATTTCAGGCCAGAACATGCAGAAACCAGAATAATTGCAGATGACAGAAATCTAAAACAAAAGAAGCAATGAAATAATGGAAAAGAAAAACTCAGTAGTGTCAACATCTGTGGACAGAATAGATCAGGCAGTGTTTTAGGTGTGGACCTTTGTTTGAACACCTGAGCCATTAGCTCATCTTTTGTGTCTGCAGTTGTTGACTATCTACTTTCAGAAAACATGCATAGATTTCACACATCAGCTGCACAGCACCGCTTTGGTTTCCATCTTTCCTGGGCCCCAATGACTGAATTCCTCTGATAATCTATTCAACATTGTCAAGTCCTAGTTCTGATTTAGGATGGGCTCTTGGCTTCTTCATCCACGATCAAGCCAAATTTTTTGAAGCAGTCTTTGTTAATGATGTATACATGAGGAGCCAGCGACAGGTCTTACACCCTGAAGCAGTTCTTACTGTATTCTCTATATCATAGCTTAACTCAGAGCAACCCTGCATCTCCTCCCAAGTACTTTCCCAGTTTCTAACATTTTTAACTGAAAGTATTTTCTTAACATATTGACTGAAATATTTAAGTATAAGTGTACCTCAACCCCGCCATCTCCCCCAAAGTCTATCATTCTCAGATTCAAGTGGATATCTCATAATGCTTCCTGATAAATGGTGCAGGAGAACGATCATATGACAGCTGACCTGGGATCGTACTATCAGCAGCTGATACAAAAAGAGTAGGGTTCTTAACAATATCCCAAAGCTCATGGTTCCAAAATAACACGTTGCCAGTGGGGCTGCCACATCAGAACAAAGACAAATATGAAGATACCACTGCGCCTTGACTAGACTTTGACCTATTTTATCACATCCATGACGATTCTTTTAAAAAAGAAGTCAGTAGAGACCATTGAATGCAGAAGTGGAAGCTAATCAAATAATTGTTTCAGAGATAGTAGGAACTGCAGATGCTGGACAATCTGAGATAACAAGGTGTAGAGCTGGATGAACACAGCAGGCCAAGCAGCATCAGAGGAGCAGGAAGGCTGA